CTAGGTCCCTTCCGACCCTAAATCTATGAAACTATGAAACCTACTGCCAGACTTACCTGCAGGAGCTGCTCTCCTAGCTACCTGGCAGCCATGTGAATATACATGTCATGGCACCCCCTGCCCGACTGCCCTCCTCCCACTCCCCACAGCCACTTGCAGGCTGGAACTCTATCAGCCTACAGAGACCTCTTTCCTAAAGTGCAAAATCCATGTTCCTCCATTAAATAAGAAACCTGCATTTTTCTCTGTTTTCCCACAGGAAACAGAAAACCCAATCCCTGATGATAACTTACTTAGCAGGGACCAGACAATATAACACTATTGCACAAAGATTCAATAAGCTCAACATCTTTGAACACAACCAGTTCTTCAGAATTAATGGTCACAGGAATAAGTAGGAACTCAAGTTAATTTCTGCATCAAAAGTGGCAAAGACTCAACTTCCACATGGTACATTCCCCAAAGTTTGGAACCTTTGGAATCAGTCAGCTTTACGTGCACCCTAAGTATGTTTCAGATGTAGTTAACATTCACATAATATTTATGCAATATTTCATCTATGTTTCATCAAAGAGTTGAAGATCGCTTTAAGTTATTCAACAGCAACCACATACAGATAGAAAATACCTACTTCTGAGACCATGACTATGCTTATTAGTCTGATGGAAGGCTTCTCTGTGTCTGCACAACAGACATTCATCCTTATACCTCTGCCATATCCCATATAACTGGTAGTAGGCACCTGTTCCCCCTTGATGGTCCCATCTTAAGATACAAAACCACTTCTCTTGAGAAGCTACATCAAAATCTACAAGATTATCTTGGAGTTAAGGGCTCATGCCTACCAATAGCATTCCTTCTTGTGTCCAGGATCCTTAGTGAAATAGATGAACACTAGAATTGTAATATATTCTGAAGCAGTGAGACACTGTCATCCCTATTCTGCCAAGAAGCAATCTCTCTCTGAACTAGTTCATTGAATATTGCATTGCATCAGTGGCTCTGCATCTTCTGTGCATACAGAACACCTTAGTGACTCAGCTAAGCAGACAATATCCAGCCAATTATACATGACCTTTCAAGGGTTTTGCTCCAAAAGGGTACATGTAAGAATAGATCCACTTGCCATGGACTGGAGCAAACAGTGCCATAGAGAATCAAGACCTCTCATCCTCTGGGTATCAGGACTCATCTATACATGCTTTCCTGTATATTCATGATCTTATATCCTCTTCAAATGCCCCTAAAGGTCAGAGTATGCTTATGCCTTAGACTTATGGTGCATATACACACATGTAATACCAAGGGTCCTAAGGAAATTCAGGCAGGATGAAGTCTTAATGGGACCAATAGACCAAGCATAGTTTAGTTCTGTAAAGAAGCCTCAGTGATGCTCTAAAGCAACCATGTAGCAGAGGCCAGATCCTGCATCCAGACCTGGTACTGCTGCAACTTATCGGGAATACTTGCTGTCATGACTGGAACCCATTCTTCAGAATTCCCAAAACATTTTAGTTTGTAGCAGAAAGACTCCAGTTAAGACCTACTTATATTATGCAGTGGAAGATGCTCTGTAAACAAACACCCCCACTAAGAACATCAACAGCACCTATTCTAGATTACATAGGACCCTAGCAGAGTGATTAAATTCTTAAGTTGAGAGCTATTTCTGTTCATTTCTGCACTGTTCAGTCTTCTCAGCTGCCAGGTTTCTCAAAGGCTGCATTTATGTCTTTCCTGTAGTCAGAGGCTTCAATATTCATGGAACCTGAGGAACATTGTCCACCATCTCAGCAGTCAGTTCTTTATAGCACTAGCCATTTTAGCAGCCGTCAACCTTGGCCTGAAGAACAGGAGACATTCCCAGCTCTCGTTGCAATAGGGCCCTATACTATGCTCTCACCTTTTTCTTGAGAAATAAGACTTCACTAATTTTTTGCTCAAAGTTATCCAGCTGACCCAAGATGAGTAACACATCTGCCAGTTTTCCGCATCGTTAGCATGAGGTTCAGGAAGGAAGCTAACTTCACAACGTAAATGCTAGTGGGACCCTCTTCCCATTGAGTGGATAACAACATTCAGAAGTTCTAGGTTATTTCTGGCTTTTACTGACAGAATGAAGTGCCACTATTCACCCAAACTTTATCTGAATGGGTTTATTACTACATTAGAATTTTCTTGGACCCACCTGTACAGAACTCCAAGAACACCAAGACTTAGCCAGCCTCTGCACCTTCTCTAAAAGAACATTTCAGCAGGAGAGAGTTATACAGCATTTATCTGGAGCTAAGTTCATACCTTTGCCTAATATTAAAACAGCTCCAGATCTAGTGTCCACTTTGTCAGAGCTGCCCTTAGAACAGCTGATTCAGAAGACACTGTTTTGATAACTTGCAAGCAGTGATCTCATATCCAAAATAGAACATTTGTGGACAATAAAAGAACAGCTCATTGCTTAATTCGTAACTGTGGTTCTTAGACATAGCTATATGTGTAGACATGCCCTCCTTCCCTACTACTATGGAGTCCTTTACTTAAACTGAATCCAGGTAGTAATGAAAACAGAGGATGGTTGAGGCTATTGTCCTGTCCTTTAGACCTTTGGCTATGGAGACAAGACTGGCATCCAGGGTACTGGTATGGTCTTAATAGCTATTCGGAAGCTTTTGATTATGTGCATGGGATGCATGTGCATCAGAAGTATAATTTACGTGGATAACAAATCTTGAAGAACTGTAGTTACTATAAAGCAACTGCCCTGTCCCTTTAGAGGCACAACTTCTCTTCCTCCAGGAGAACATATCCATAAAATACGTATCATGTCTATGTCTGGATTCTGTATAATGTTCTTATACTTTCAGAATTAATAGCAGATTAGTACCTCTTCTCTGTACAGAAGCCTGCTCTCCTCTTGAAGCTGAAAGGTTAAGTTAATATTTGCAACAAGGGGTGGGGGGGAAGGATGAAACAAGTGCATCCAAATCTAAAAAGGGAGTAAAATGCTACTTTATGCTATAAAAAAAAAAAGTCCTATATTTGTGGATACTAGGACAGTCTAGAATTTTAGATGTTGAATAAGCTAAATAGAACTTGAAAGTTTTCTTACTCTTGTAGCATAACATTACTAATTAGGCCCCCCAAAAATGGCTGCTTCGATCTTGGCAAAACTAACCCATTTCCTGTTCTCTCATATCATTATGGATATATAAATATAGACAACTGACAGTTGGCACAACATTCAGGAGTCTGTAGTAACTAACCAGCTTAAAAATCAGTGCTGAGAAGATTCACTGAAGAGGCTGTGTGCCATTTAAACCACCAAGGGTAGTTAACAGACGTATTAACAGTACATTTTACACTGTTCATATGTGTTTGCAGATGTAAAAAACTAAATGCATTTAAATAAAAACATTACTTTTCAAAAACCCTTTTAGATAACAGTTTTTGGAAACTGAACAAACTTATCAACTTATCACATTAAGTTGATTTTATATACGACCAAAATGCTGTGCTAAAACTGGCTAATTGCCAGTGAAGCCTCCTAACTAGAATAAATAAAAAAAATTAATAATCTTTTTTCTTCAAACAAATTTGAAAAAAAATGGATCCATAACTAACATATCTCCACTGTAAATAAAACTGGCATACTTGAAAGTAACTTAATTACAACTGGTATTTTCCTGCTTTTGAAAAGTGCGACAGGGAATTTTAACCTTTGTCAAAAGTTTACAAGTTAATTTCATAATGTCATAAGTCAGTTCTGAACATTTTAGTATTAACCTTAAAAATAGTAGTTTTATCAAGTTTCCATTTGTAAGTTGGTTGATAACATTTTTAAATAGAATTTAGAATAAAACTGAGGTACCATGAGCAGGCACTTTAGGTTAATGACATTTTATGCTTATTTTAGGATTTTAAATGATGAAAAACTACTGAAAGTCATTGTGCTGTAAACACCCGTTACATTAAATAGAGGTTATTCTGCTCATGTATAGTTTGTACTATCCAACTTCCACTTTGGCCACAAGTAGACTGAACATCTTAGAGTGTGGTAATTGCCATGCTCCAGCAGATTATTAAATTACGTCTGCTCCAACACACTGTAATTATAGCGTGTCAGAGCTACCTCCCATGCTCATGTACAAGTACCCATGGTTTCTAGTGATGCTTTAAGATGCATTAAAATAGGTTAATGCACATTAAAGTGCAAGTACAGACCTTCCTTCCACTGGCTATACTCTAGGCTTGTTCTTCATGACCAAATGGAAATCATGGACGATTTCCTATTCTCTTCTCCCTTGCTTCTCCCTCAAAATTGTGCATAATCTGCCACCCATGGTTTACAAAGCATAAAACTCAAAGCCTCCAACAGCACAAGATGCGTCTAAATAGGATGCTACTTAATAAACAAACAGCTAGGAAGAAACACATTTACACATAGCCCGAGAACAGCATTAATGGTCCTTTAACTGGATTAGCTTTTGAGAGAGGCAGAAATCCAAAGTAAAGTAGCAGATTAGAATCAGACAAAGAAGTTAACTCTAGAAAGAAAAAAAAAAAGTGTTTTGTTCAGATAACTGACATCTTGTTAGTGGTTTTCCTCCCACTGACTTAAGATTGCAAGTATGAGAAGTGACAAGATAAAACCAAATGTAGAAGGCAAGGATCACTTTGATTCTAGTTTAATAGTAAAAATAAAGATGAAGACAGTATCCATTACCTCTTGTACCCATCTAAGTGCATTTTTGTGTCCTATATGACCCTATAATTATGTCCCAGAATATGTGGGTTGATGATATAAATAAGGGAAGAACATGAGTTGTGCTTGCAACTGCATCTGTACTGATAATGTTCCTCTTACCAATACAGGGCTTAATTCTCCAGAGTTATGTGAGCTTTATTAGCAGAGCCAAAGCACTGTAAGGAACTGAAGTGCATCATGAGAGAGACTGGGAGAATATTCACATTTAATTAGGTTGCTTTTCAGTTGAAATATGGATTTACTGTTTCTGTAGTGGCCTCTGTGACCTATGCATAGGTTCTACATAGGGTATGACTGCTGCTATTAATACAGTTCAGTAGCTGGGCAAATCACTAGTGTATTTTAAGAATACTGAGAGATGCTGAATCATTCCGCTGACTGTAGCAACACTTTTTTTTCTCATTTGTGAATCTACATGTAATTACCAGTCTTTTCCACTTCTATAATGTCCTAATTAAAACAGAATGTAAATGCATCTAACATTAAGCATAGGCTTAAGTTACATTGACTTAAATCATATTAACTTCAGGAGGATTTAAGCATGTGATTAAGTGCTTTCCTGAATAGTAACCTACTGTTTCTTCTTCACTCAGAGGAATGACTATTCCGCATATACCCTTGTGCAAATATAACAGCACTGTTGAATCCTGTCCAGCCCACTCACTCCTATCAGAACACATTGAAGCAGTTTGCTGCATTAAAGTGAACTTTTCTTGTAGTAAGAAACTCTTTGGTTAAGGATAACATACGTTTAGAGTCTTGAACTGAGAGTTTTATTTTTTTTAAAGTTTGGTAAAGCAGCAGCCACAGCAAACTAGTCTTGTTCTAACTGTAGTGGAATTTAAACGTAAATGGTCCTCCTGAACCAAACGGGTTGAATCCTTGCCATGTGTTCCAGCTTCTGTGGAAAGGGTGTCCTCCACCCTGCTGGCTCTCCGCATCTAATGGATCCTCGCCTGCATCAAACTTTTTTCTCATCTCTAAAGAGAGGCATACATACATAGTGAGAACAGGATACCACCTATCATTCAGGTCACAATACAGATAAATACAGTTAAATTGATAGTATTTCAGTAGCTGGATCCAGACAAGAAAGAGAAACAAGGCCTAGCTTTAGAGTCCTAGCACTAGACAGTTTTAGAGATCAGTTTGGTTTAAATGGTTGCATCTCTACACTTGGTAGTTTAATGCACCAATAAAGTTTTACCCATTTAATATAGTTTCATCTACAATAACTAATCTGATATCTACAAAGAAATCAAAGGTTATTTTGACATATCAGTGGAGACTTTCTAAATACTTTACTGTGCTTTAAAAGCGTTAACCAAGTAGGTTTCGTCTTTAGTGGTAGGCAGCTTATAAAAGCAGTCTGTCAACTCCAAAGAAATCAGCTTATACAGAAAATGGAACTAACTTGTATAACAATGTTCCCTTAAGGTTCAAGTTCTATCAAATTAGTCAACTTGGATAAGTAGATTATTAGCCAGAAGATTTATTCTTAGTCGCTGTCAGCTTTCAAAAGTATGCACAGAGTTCAAGACTCTGGGCCAGATTTGTAGTTCCAGACACAGCACTTTGAAAGCCTTCCATATATTTACTATGTTAGCTTCTCATAAGATTTTTATTTCCTAATTTAGACCCGAGACTTGTAAACACCACCCAGGCCTTTTTCAGAAAATATTAAAGACTCTTATCTTTCCAGAACAACTTCAAACCCTCAAAAGTGAACTGGGACAGAAACTGTGCAAGAAGAAACCCAGAACCTCTGCAAGGCAGCATTCTGAATGGCCAGCTGGGCCTTCTTGCTGCTATCACACTAATTATTTCTACTCTATACATGAGATCCATTTTTTTTTAACCAGTGCCCATTATGCAACTGACATCATCAGTTTCAAATAGATTCCTCCATTTCCCAGCTCCCACAGTCCTGAAGATTCTAGGGACAGCAGGGGCACCAAGGAGAAGCAACTTAACAGGTGCACAGCTTTCTTACCAGGCCCCCTGCATGGTACCACTACTGGAAATGGCTCCATTTGTTCAGCGGAGCTTGAAAGTGGGGATGGGGAGTGATGTTCCTTATTTACCTTTTCTACTTGGCATTGTAGCAGCTCTTTTTCCTGGTAACCAGCAGAAGTCACAAGAAACTCTCTCCTACTTTTAAATAAAATATATTTTGTTCCCCTTCCCCCTTCTAATTTTACCCATTAACTCTAAACAGCCCCTTAGCCATCTTTCACTTTTTGAAGTTAGGCAAGGAGGTTGAGGGTCTTATATGACTTTAGATTAAGTCCCAGCTTTGATTCCTGGGCAGTGGGCTCAGTTCAGGATTGTATTATGTTTTTTGAAATGCAGTACAAATATGAACTCCTCATTTAGCCTCTACAGCCTGGGAAGAGATGGGCTAAAAGGAAGGGAGCAAGATACAATTGAAAATACCATTTTAAAAAGTAGTGGGACAAAAGGGGGGCAGGCAAAAGATTTTAAAACATGTTAAAAACTATGTGAGAGTCATCTGGTTTTAAAGACTGTTTTTCTGTCTGTTTGGTTTTTTTGGCCTTTGGACATAAGCTTCCATCATAGTGAGGTCAAAGATTCATGGGACAGGGAGAAGAATGCTTTCACATTTAAGTTCTTTACTGTTATCTAAAAATGTAACTTTTATTCAGCTCTGAAGGAGACATTAAGAACACTTATGTTATTCCAGGGTGGTGTTTTTGTCTAATGCATAGTTCTGCTGGTTGTAGTTATTCTGCATATTTGCTTGCGTCTTACAAAACACATTGCACTTATAAACAGACAATGAAACACAAACCCAGAAAAAAACATTAATGTTCTATATAAAGATTGGTAAATAAGTAAGAATTGTTTTGAAGTGTTAGTGTCATTAACTCCCATCTTTGGAACAGAAATGTTAAAATAATCTTGTTACTCTGGGCCAGGGTCTAGAAATGGAAGTTAAACAATTCATCTGTAAGAGGGAATTCTTTTCTGCCTGAGCCTCCAACAGCATGGAATTAAAATACCTCTAAAGGGGGCCAGTCTCCCTCCTATTCTGTTATCAAACAGACCAGTATTGCTAGGTAGTACTAAGAGTATTTCACTTTCCCCTTTTGTCAGCACTCACTTCACATGCCTAGGTATTTCTTTCCATTTTTTGTTGTTGTTTGGTTTGTTTGTTTTTTTAAATGAACACTTCAGGAAACAGTGTTCTCTAAACCTTTTCATACTGTGATGGAGCTAGTCTCTTTGACACTAGCTCAACAGCTAATCCACTATGGTTCTCAGTTTGGTGAAAGTTTTGGCACTCCAACCTCCACTAAGAGCCAGCACCCTTTTCCCCACCATTTGTGCTTCATTTTTGCTTCCCTTCTGCTTGCGCGTACTGCACCAATTCATTATAATAAGGTAATGACCTTCCCACTGAACTATGGAAAGACCCCTATTTTGCTGCAGACAGTACAAAAGAAATGTAGTTTCTAGAACAAGCTGGAGTGTTACACATCAAACCCTTCTAACAATTTCCTTCCAGCTTTCCAGAAAAAGAGTTCTTGCCTAGTTTAGGATACAAGAGATATTTCAAAATGATTCATTTTTGAGAATGTGGGTCTTAGTTAAAGGCAGATAAAATACAGGGAAGTTCATACCTGGTTTATCTAGGCTGGGGTAGTCAACTGGGGGTACCTGGGAGGGCCCTAGGGGTTATGAGTGGGCAGGCAGGGATGGAGCACAGTCACCCACCACCCTGTACCTCTGCCTCCCAGGGCTGGGGCCGGGGCAAGGGCAGCGGTGCCCCTCTGTTGGCTGTGGGGGGCGGCTCACTTCCCACCACTTGGCACTGCCACTGCTCTGTGTTCGGCTGCATGCCACCCCCACCTCTGTGTCCAGCTGTGTGCCAGTCCCCCCCGCACACTTACTAAAAAGGGTTGAAAACACTTGACATAGGGGAAAGTTCACTCTTACATTTACTGTGCTATGCTTAAAGCCTGTGATTACCCTATTCATTAAAGGAAGAAGGATATCTTATTTTTTCATTCTTTTATCTGCTTTTGAGGCCAACACAAGAATACAATAAGTCAGCTGTATTCGTTACATCCTGTATTTTGAAAAGAAAAGAACCACCACATTAATATAATTGCTACCTGGGTCAGTAAGGACTTCTTTAGCTGCTGCTATATCAATAAACTTCTTTTCTGCTTGCTTCTTCTCCTCTTCACTCTGGAAGTTATCAGGGTGCCACTGTGATGCTAGCTTTCTGTATGCTTTGATTATTTCTTGTTTTCGAGCATTTCTGGATGGAAAAAAAATTAAGATGAGATTACCAGCTGTTTGCATGCCACACTATTGAATCTTAAATAAAAAGTATAAAAGCAGACTGAAGAGCACTAGGAAAACTGAATATTTGTTTGTTAACCTTTTGTTGTTGGCAGCTGACTTCAGACAATAATGGACTATTCTAGTAACAGCAGTACGAAATAGGTTATTTTAAATACAATTCCCCATTTTCTCTATTTTCTCTCTTCGGAAATTTGCTTTTCCGATCAAATGCTCACAAGTAGGGAATTTTTAAGTTAATATCAATTTTAACTGCTAATAAAGCCTTAAGACCATGGTAACATAAACAATTACAATAAAACAATATCAAAAAAGTGGTGAAAAAAGCATAAATATTTAAACATACAAAAAAGCACTAATGCAAACAGCAAATTTCAAAACTTATTTTACTGTACCAACACAGGTAAACATTCTGAAAATTGGCATTTTACCTTTTTATTCCTAAAATTTTGTAGTAATCTCTCTTCTGAGACTGCTTCAGCATCTTCTGGGCTCTCTCCAGACCTTCACGAATCTGTTGATCATTTTCACTGTTGGCTTGAGCAGTTTCATAATCTTTAACAGCTGTTCATAAGAAGTAATTAAAGAAGTTTAATCACTTAAAAAAATTATACATCACATTAATTTGATTAAGTACTAACCCTACCCCCACCTAATTTGGAACTTTTGGCCACTAAAATTGATGACGCTTTATGAAAAAGCCTTTCAGATTTGTTTGCAGTTTTCTTGGCATTTGTAAAAAGCCTCCTACTCACTAATATCTATTTTTTACCCATCTGTACTTCACAATACTACAAAGTCCCTGGAGTAAGGTGTGCTGCACTATGTCTACACTATGTGTTTCTGCTAATGCAGTGGCGCCAGTAGTAAATGCAGGGTGGACAAAGCCTAATGTACAAAAGCAAGAAAATTAGGGCTTTTTAACCTTTAAAACTTGGAAGACATCTGAAAACTGGCTAATATTAATGAGATTGGAGGAAAGACTGAATCTAGTTCTTGTTTGGGTTGTGGTCAAGGAAAAAAAGACTTGCTCCAAGAAGACTGGCTGGAAGGTTCCAACCTTTTGTTTCAATCATTGGCTGAAATGGAACTTGACTAAGTCTAAAAGGTGTTAGGAACAAACACTTCATGTGGAGAAAGGATAGGGAAAGGGAGTTACACATAGTTGTGGGTCAGAACAAAAATGTCTTTGTGGGCTGGGGTGTTTCAAGAGCGAAAGAGAAATAGAATAAATGAGAATAATACAGACAAAGATGGCTGCAGTGACTGATATCAGAAGTGGTCTTAAGTAAGCTGGAAGGATGCATTATACAGGACCTGCATTTTGAATTGTTCACCTTTGTGCCCAAATATCACATGGGAAAGACCCTTTCATGAACTGCTTTTTGTGGTTTATTATTATAGTAGTTATAGATACCAATGCATTATGCAACTGATATTATTCTGCTAGAATACTACTGTTAGACAAATTGTTAGAAAAATATATACCCAAAACATTGTATTTTAATCACATTGTGTAATACATGCTAAATTTTGGCTTCATACAATTACTGCTTTAATTTCCAAGAGAACAGAGGAAGGGAGGTACTGTAATGCTTTTGGCAAAGGGGTAAAGCATCTCGGAAGCCAAATTTTTTTTTTTTTTTTTTTTT